GCTGTATGCTAGCAGTCAAAAATCAACCCTGGTGGTATAACCCACCAAACATCACACAGAAAACACTGGTGACACGCTGTTGAACAACATGGATTTAGCATTTAGCAGCGAGCCAGATCATTTCCTCAGGAGCTGTCAGTCACTAAAACACAAGTAAAACAAAAGTGATTGAAGAACAATGTGGCCAAAAGAATCAAGTAAAGAGGGGATCATTCCTACCTGAGACTCATACGGCAGGAAAGCAACATTGATCTCTTTTAAAGTCTTGACAACCTTGGAGACTCTGGATCTCCCAATCTCGGCAAAGAGAGCATCTGGACAAGCTATGGAAGCAAACATCAATAAATAACTTAGAAACGGCAATACGGTAATGCAAGTATTCAGTATATCTTGAAACTTTAAATGTTTTGCACAGTACTTTTGAAAATAGCTGATCAATAAATATGGTTCCCACAGGTTTAAGTTGTTTTTCATCGTGAAATCAATGATGGAAATACACACAGTACACAGACAAACTTACTATCGGTGAAGAAGATGTGTGCTGCTTTGTAAGTAAAGGCAGCGTCTTTGAAGTCATTAATGAGAGCACGAACCGACTGTAATTGAAAACAAATTTTGTTTAAAATTTTAGGATAGTGAGAAAGATCACAATGAACACAAGAAGATCTTGTTGAGGGAACTCTGAGGAAGAACAGCTGACCTTCTCCACGGGGGAAATCAGATAAATGGCCTCCAAGCTAGAGATGGGCTCCCTGCGTTTATTGATGTCCTCCACAACTGAAAAGGATAAAACAGAGGATTTTTAATTCAATCTAAACAGTCTCACTTGATCAATATGCAACTGCAAATAAAACATCACCTTGTAAAAGGAAAAAAACAAATCAGTGAGTGTTGGCATATCAATCTCCCATGAGAAATCCACACATCAGCTGATTCTTTTAATAAGGCTGGTGAAAGTTTTTTATCAAATAAATCAGTGACCATTCATGCACTGGAGACAGTGGACATTTATAACTTAAGAAATACTTTGGCCATCCATTAGTATGTGACAGGACGGCTATAAATATCCCCCGATTGCTCTATGACAGTTTGAAGAGGTTGGCATAAATAAAGCAACGCCTGAAGAAAGTGTACTGACATCCATTCTTTTTTTTCTTTAAAGTTTGAACCCTCGTGTTTGCGACTGATCCACAGGATGCAAGACCGTTAATTATCCGCATACTTACTGGTCACGCCCTCTGCCAAGATGTCTGACATCTTGCAACAAGAGGACAGAATCCGCATGCTCATGTGATCCACGATGAGAACCTGGAGAAACACGAGATAAACAGGTTAGAAATTCAGTGTGACAAGATCTTCTTCATTCCTATTGAGCAACTGTTACCTTCCATTCTCCATCCTTCTTTACGCTCTTTATGACCCCACTGAGGATTTCTGTAGAAGAATTAAATGGATGGTTACAGAACAATCTATAATTTGGAAACATTTCTTGCGCCGCACAAAAAAGGTTTACGTGAATTTTAGCAACGACTCCAATATGGAAATATCTGGCAATGCGGTTTGTGAACCAGAACTAACATAACACCATAATAATCATTTATGTGATGCCTATAATTTGCATTGACTCCCCTTTTTGTTACAGCATCCATTTATAATTTTTACAATTTCATTTTGTTGTCTTTTCTGCCTACAGTCACTGTAAGGAGATTCAAGAGCAAGTCAAATATCAATTTGAAACGTGACATTTCTTATATTAAGCCAATGCAAAGGGTTAAAGGTCGGCTGTGTGCGTCTAAAACTCTCTTAACCAGGAACCAACCTCATATTTAGTACTTGTATTTACCAAATTGTGGTGCAACTTCCTTATGCGATATTGTTGCGATTACAGTGTACGAAGATCAGACAAAAGCATAGTTGTTCCAGTGACTTCATAGGCACAACAGCTGAGGTGTGGCACTCCCCGTGAAACCAAGTGTGAGGGTCTAGTGCAGTGTTTTATTGTGACAGTGGGTCATCTTACCCAAAATGCTCTGAAATAAAACATACAGCGCAAAGGTGCTATTCCACAAAACAAAATCCATTAGTCGTTAGTGTGGCTATTGTTTTAGGCCATCATATGTTCACCAGGATCTGGGTGGCTTAACATTTCCTCCCTTTAATAGTGCACAGAAGGGAGGACGGTGTGGGAATAAAATAGAAAAATGAAGAACTACATCGATGTGATATCATGTTCATCACTCTACTTACTAGTCTAACCTCATTATAAACCCACCTCTGACTCCCTAAGACATATGATTGATTCTTAAAGGCCAAGTCTTATCACCACATCTTTTCCACTTGCTAATTGATGTGATAATGGGCTGGTTAATTCAGCAATTCATTATAAAAAAAAAGAAACATTATTACACTACACCTACGTTAAAGATCATTGTCATCACTACGCTATGAATTGTTTCCACGAATAGATTGGTGAGGGTTCTGGATATTTCAGTGGATACTGGATGTATATTTGTTTGCTTAGATAGGCAAAACTATAATCTAGTTTGTACCAATTTACTTTTAACAACGTAGAACTGTCTGCCAGGACCACGAGGAAAATTAATCACTGACAAAAGGTCGTGTCATGCCCAACCCATTTCCAAACAGCCAACTGGAAAAGATGACTACTTGAAGCTGGGGCCTTCCACCTCAAAGCAGAACATCAAACCATTTTAGCAGTCTTAATCTAAGCCTATATATTTGTTGCTCTTTACAATGTAGCAAGATATCTGCATGCATAGTTGCCAGGCATCAGCCCGTCTTGCCTCTTACAGAATGCTGTTATTTTTGAGTTTATGACTTGCGGTGACTTATATTAATTGGCATTATAGTGACAATGGAAAGTGGCAAGGAAGACGGCCTGCAGCTTAGCTTAACTTGTGTGGACAACAATATTTCCAAGGATTAGATCAAGCTCATAAGACCGGTCACCATGCCACCACTATAGCAACGGTTGCAGATTTCCTAAGCCCAGGCCCAGCATCACAAACATGCGTTTTATATTCAAATCAGTTGCAATTAAAAACTCAGTTATAAATAGGCCTAGAATAAACAAATAGCAAGTCATTGTTAGTCTGATCTATGAGTCCTGGGGTCAGAGTTACTTGTATTACTAGAGCAATTTGAGACAGGTTTGTTCACACTACACTCCTCCCTCTGACATAATGAAAAGGTTGCGTCAGAGTATAAATAAATTTGCCTTTAAACATTACAAGTTCTTTCGAACAACTGAACCCCTCAATGCAAATACTTATGATGTATAAACGTATATAATATTAAATAGCCATTACCATTACATGATGCTATTTATCTTTGATTTGCGAATACGAAATGTATTCATTAATCATTATTATATCAAGATTTAAGAGATGCTTTAAGCACAATTGATTCTATGACGTCATTGAAATGGTTAGGCTTTTTGTAAAAACGAAATAAGTTAATATTGAAATATAATTTACTTTAAAAACTTTTTTGTAACAACAGTTCACATTGTATTAATGACGTACAACACGATTTGTTACGGCTGATTTAACGTTAGTCCTTCTCAAGTGAAGTTACCGGACTTCCTCTTTGGGTTCAGCAGCTAATGGTAGCTCATATTTAGGACCAACACGACAATGGTCACAACACCGTCAGTCACTGAAGCCGTCGATGTGTACAACCGCCCAACAACAAACCACCCTTTCTCCTCGGCTAATGGTGTTACCAACACTCGCAACACAATACAAATGTGTATCAATGACTTGGTTACCGATGACATTATGTCCTCGGGTAGTGTTAGCATTTTAAATTGTGACTGGAACAGGAAGAACCTGAGCTCGACCAGCAGTGCTTCTGATAAAGGTTTAGCGTCAATTCATCGAGCTCCTTCGAGTACAAAATTAACAACCTGTGTATTTTATTTGTAATAAACTTCTGAAAGTGAATACAGCGATTAAACGAATGTATAACTTACTTTCTCCAACTACCGCCTTCAGCCCACTCGGTGCCATCTTGACAGCAACCTGTTGGCTCGTTAGTCGGTCACTTCCTTGTTGTTAAAGCCTGTATGAGTCGAGCACACAGGCTTTAACAGTGAAATGTTGCCCTCTATTGCCTCATACTACTATTGCATGAACACGACTCATACACTTGATCCCAATTTGTGTGCAGTAACCTTGTTGAAACAAATAGCAAACGTGTGGGAAATATCAGTTAAGATACATTAATCATATGGTGTAATTTTCATATTCAAAATGCTTCATGGATTGTTATTCTTTAAGGCATTGCCTTGCGACTGTTGCTTTTGCACTCCAACCATGCACATTCTGTGCAAAATGATTAGATGAGTGGTGTTGCACAATGAATAGCACTGTAGTATCATATGATATGTCATGGCACCATCATTCCACGTCATATAGGGTGTTGAATCAGAAAAGGTTTATTGCCAAGTACGTTACACATACAAAGAATAGGGCTTGGTGATTGGTGCATAAAAATAAACAGTGCAATAGTATGAGACATAATTTAAATAGATGTTAAGCACTTGAAGTCCTGGGTTATTGTGGAGCCCAGGAAATGGAAGGACTCCACAGATTCAATGAGGGAGCCACACAGGGCGATAGGGGCAGGTGGGGCTGCGTTCTTGCAGAAATCCACAACCATCTCCACTGTCTTTAGAGCGTTGAGCTCTTAGTTGTTTAGTCTGCACCATGGTCAACAGATGGTCGATCTCCAACCTGTAGGCGGACTCATCCCCACCAGAGATGAGTCCAATGAGCGGTGTCATCCGCAAACTTCAGGAGATGCTGAACTCCAGATGCTGGAGGATGAAGTGAAGGGCCGTGTTGATTGCGTCGTCTACAGACCTGTTGGCTCTGTAGCCGAACTGCATATTCACGTGCACTAACAGCCTAAAGCATATCAGTAAATGCTGTATTTTTAAAATACAAATACAGTAATAACATTACCATACTCAGGAATTAGGGAAAATTCACTTTATTCCAGAAGTTGAGGCATTTTGAGTGATCGAAGTACATATTTAAGACATCTATACTGTCTGCGTTGAACCAGGAGGTACATTTGGGTCACACTCTATTTCAATGCCTCTGCACAAGTTACTCATAAACACCTTGTTCCTACAAATAAATATTGGCTGGTGGTCAAACCAGCTCTCTTCTGGTCAAAAAGCATCTTTAACCAGAGGTTAGAGATGTGGCCATAGAATGTACAGTACATCAGATACATCTTCATAGCCAAGCACAGCCATCAATGCTTCTGATACAATAGGTGAAACAAAACCAACATTGACTTTAATTAAAAACAGCGTTAAAATGATTTGTTAATGAGAACCATACACATAGTCAGTGCCTATAGCGTCAAATTCCTCCATTCCCTGAACTGTTATTATACAAACCCAGTGGATGTCATAAGGATTTTACAACAGTGATAAGCAGAAAATAAAATAATTTAATGTCATAGTATCACACAACTGAATCACTACTGGTGCAGACAGTTCTTTTTCTGAATGCAGCAAAAGTAAAAATCTCACAGAAGGAAACCTGCTGCAGACTAGTGAAACTTGATATTTTATTTCCCAATAAGATAACCCAGAACATAAATTTAAAGTTACCCAGACTGTAAATCAAAGGCTAAAAGCAATAGTTGCTGCCATCTGTGCCTCTAGTAAATACTTATGCAATCAGGTAGTTCGTATTTTGCGTTTGTGCTCTAAATTCAAATCAGTTTATGGAGATTTTCTTTATGCTTTGGTATTAATGTCTCTTTCTGTTTGTCATTATCAAAAATGCTCAATTACATCCAATGTGATACAATGTTGTAAAACACTAAACATGAAAAAATAAATCAACATTTAATAAAAACTGCTCCTCACAAAATAAATTGTGAAAATTACATTAGATCCAACTGGATATACAACTCAAATAACTATTTTATGACAATGCAATCACAGCAACTCATAGGGCATCTGAACATTCCTTGGTGAAAAAAAAAAATCAAAAAAATCACACATGTAGATTAAAGGCATACTAGGAACGCCCACCACACATTAGGGATGCGTTAACTTCTCAAAGAGTTTCGATGTGTCATGCTCTTAATCCAGTCCCATCAGTTTCTCGTTTTACCCAATAAACACTGCCAGATAGTCCATCAGTGGTGCTGGTAATATATGCATTTTTTTCAACACATAATCCTCAATTCTCAGAGTCCATAGAAAGTGCTCTTAATAGTTGCTGCTCCTTACGAAGACGCATTCGCTCTTTGAATTCCTGCATCTCTTTCCTCTGAAAATACATATAGCACAATCATCATATATTGTGCTTTACAGCCGTAGTTTTAGAATACTTAATTACACACACACACACACACACACACACACACACACACACACACACACTGCTTTTTATGGATACAGCTAGGAAATCATACGGCAATTATTAGTGGTGTTTATTATTAGCCTTAAATTAAATGAATAAATAAAAACGTACGCGCAGTCCTTCGTCAGGGGGGAAGATCTCCCTCTGGAAACCATAAAAGATGCCAGCAGAGAAAGAGATATGCGTTATTACAAGAAGAGCACCGAGCATGTGGACAGAAAATAAAACAGCAGCATTGCTTACCTTTCTTTTTACTATGTACTCTTCAAAATACTCTGCTTGATTTGAGATCCAGAACATGGTCACGGGAAAGGACAGATACAGCATCATCTGCTCAAAAACAAATAAGATCGGGAAGTGAGTGACTGTGGAAAACGACCACATGACCACACATAGCCTAATGATAACGACTAGCTAGATCGAACCACTCAACCTGGACACATTTGTGTGATATTAAATGTCCAGGGACATTGTTTTAAAACACTTGGTACTCACTCTAAACATCTCTATTTTAACACCCATGTTTGCGTCGGCACTGGACCCAACAACAGTGAAACGTTATCTAAACTCCTAACATCGCCAAAAGACCTTCACACTACTTCCGGGTAACTGACTCGGAAGCCACAACGCATGCGCTTGTGCTGTCATAAATACATATATTTCAACACAATTGAAAATAGACACACGTATCACATTTGATATCATACATGACTTTGCCCCTTGATAAAATAATATTTGGAGAGTTTTAAAATGTGACGCTTAACTTTTGTATCGCAGCTGACCTTTAGTTAAATAAAGGCGCAGGGGGGGTGTCCACCGAGGGGCGCTGCAAACCATTAATTGTGTCCTGATACCATTGACACTCTGCTTTTTAGGTACATTTTGCAATAAATACCTACAAGGAGACCTACAGTGGATGTTATCTCGTTCTACTGATCATTAATATAACAAAGCATTAACAAACCTACAGGCTGGTCACGCTGCTGTTGATATTATCTTTCAAATATGAAATAAAAAACAATACAGTGTATTTATTATCAACCCATTTTTTACTGTCTGACAACTCTTTTGAACTAATTGTTTGGGCAAACTTGGGTTTGTATTTACTCTCACCTATTTTAAGAAGTTACATCATATCTAATCTAATCAAAAACAGTGAGGAGAAGACACCAAAACGGGGTACTTTTGGGAACAACATTGGTATTTTTACTTTCACTTATATTTCTGTAGCTTTGTCCCAAAACGTCATGTCGGATTTACCCAGTTTATTGCCAGTTTATTCCCAGTTATCCAGATATTTTTTTAACACGGTCTTTTACGTCCTCCACGAGAGACCGACGCGTGACGTCATCGACAACGAGAGGTGTTCAGGATCCTCGGAGAGAAAGATCCCGCGCGCCCTGGCAACCTGATAAACCCCCAGGTAAACGCCGTTGTTTCAAACATTATATCTGCCAAGTCATGTTGTCTCAGTAAAGCCGAACGGGTAAACGGCCAGAAGACACGGTTAAAAGCGGTGTAAAAGGCTTGAGAGGGAGCGCTGATGCCCCGGCGCCTCAGTGAGACCGTTCACTTGCACGGCGGGCCTGTTCTGGCTAGCTAGCTTGCTAGCTAAAGCTAGTTGGGCAGTTGCCTTATCAAAAGACACAATAACCGCTTCTACATTGTGTGTCTATCTGACACCCCGTGTCTGTCTCACACACCGCTGACCACGAATACGCTGTGAATAGACCGACTAAGGGTGCTACGATCACTGTGTATCATCTAGTGCTAGTTCGCTCGTCGACTGTCTTGTGTTGTGGGAGACGGCGATGATGGCGCACACTCAGACCGAGGCTATTTGACGAGAATGCAGTCAATAGAGCAGGTAACACGTAATATAACTGTAATGTTGATCTTCCAAAGCTCGCTGTGATGATCATGAGACGATACGTGGGTGTCTTCGTGCGCTTTCAGCTCCGCTATTCACACTCACTGACGTCCATTACGAAACCCGGGCAGTAATCTGTGCCCTGTGGCCTAACGTTAGGATCTTGGCTTCTCCGCGAAGATCGCTCGCCAACAGTCATTACTTTGCAATTGTATCCTTTTTATTCACCAAATGTGGTAATGATATCCATCCCACATGGACGTGGTTGTGTCTGTGGTGTTCATAAGACTACTATTGGGGGGATATTACAGACATAAAGCTGACCGGTATGTCTAAACAGATTACTCATGCAGAGGCCCGTTACTTAACTAACTGTCCCTCACAGGCGTGTGACATGTTTTTCGTGTTGTTTTTAATGCTTGTGTGACAGCATATGGCTCGATCTTATAACAGGACAGTAGCCCACCTACAGTCACGTGCTTGTTTGGGTAGGCTTCTTTGCCTAAAGGTCCAAAAACACTAAATCAGTTTAAAGCTTTAGTGCCACTGTAAACCTATCGTATACCTTTTTTTTTTTTTATTTGCCATCATCCTTAAACATGTTGGCAGTCTATTATTAAGACTTTGTTGGTAACGAGTCAAAGCCATAGGTCAGTTTTGTGATTAACTTGTCACTGATAAGGTATAAAACAAATGTTATCAACCTTTGTGTAAATACAAGAGGACCAACTGGGTTAAAGGGCAGTTACCAGGAATGCAGTTAATCAAAAAGAAAAGCTCAGATGGTTGAGATATTAATAACATTACCGCAAATTAAGTTGAAATTGAGTAACTGCATCATACGTTTTTTTAAATAATAACTGACTTAAAGTGCTTGTAGATACTACTGGTTAGGCTTCACAGAGCTGAGCTTGTAATGACATACTTTAAAATACCAGTACATCATGATTGTTGGTTTTACATTTAAAACCATTGAAACTTCCTAAAACAGTTCAGGGTGTCAGGATGACATGCATGTGTGCTGCTTAGGTCTTATTTCTGTCTGTGAGTTTGGACACTATGTCCTACACTAAAGAACATACATTTCTTCTTCTTGTTTTTTTTTAATTCCTTTTTTGGGGTTTTCTTCTCCCTGGTTTAGTTGCCATGGTAACACCATCCATGGCCTAGTTGTGAATGACCTCTGAATGAGACGGTAGTGTGTGGTCAGGGAACTAAATCTGTCATAAATGCTTTGTTTATCACTTTTGAGTCATTGGCAGTAGTGTCATGAAGTCTACTACAAATGCGTCAATATTGCAGAACACAGAATTTTAGTTTTCTCTCTTCAGCCGCATGAAAACAGTGCGTCTTTGTCATATTGTGGCATGTTCGGAAAGCAATAGACAGTATTCACAACTTTTCATTTTTTGATGATCAATCGTTTTATTTATTTCATTTTTAGAACCGTCAATGTCCATACTGAACAAAGCTAACGTCATTAGAATCAGCCAATCTAACAACAATCACTGGTTGTTGGCTTGTCTGTCACCCATGTCATTTTCAGCAGTTGATTCACAATTTAAATGCAATACTCAATATAAACATCCTATGTTGGTTAGAACAAAATGCAATACTGGGGGGCTTGCTTTGAATAAAGTTGTGTTGAAATTGTACAAATTGTCGCCAATATTTTCTCGAGCTTTAGTTGGAGTGGACATTGACACGATCCAGTCGTACCCGACATATATCTCTACTCACAAACCTCCGTCAAACACCCTCTCATGTCACACTGTTCTGTTAACACGCACAATCACTCGCAAACGTCGCAGATCGCCAAGATCATTGTATATCGGCACAACCCTTGCAAAGTTACCGGCGTATTGATAAGCCCCGATGTTGGTGGTGTTTTAATAGTACCTTTTAATGTTTTGATGACAAAGAGCGTCGGGCTGAGCTCCTCCAACTACACACATAGACACAAACGCACAATCTAAGCGCGAGCAGAGAGGCCGCTGTGGGGAAGTGAACCAGGTGACGTGAAGGATACTCGTGTTGACGGCAACTACACTTGTTACTGTACATGCAATCAAATAGTTGCGATTAAAAAGCCAATACTTTATCAAAAACATCTGTGAACATCGGCCACTATGTTTACACAAGCACAGCAAGCACGATCGGCCAAAAGCTTATTTTTTGTAAACTACAAAGCAACCGGGAGGACAGAAGTCAGGAGGAATGACTGATACTGACGGATGTCTGTGTTCTTTATGCTTTATAAACTTCACTCAGAAGTGTTTGTTTTATTTACATTTTATAAGAGGGAAGGTCTTGTGGGTTTAGACATTGGCTGAATAAATGTATTGAGTATTACTCCGAAGTCCTAAATACTCACTCTCTTATAGCTCTGTTTTTGGTGTCTCCCAACTCCTGAGGGTACTACCTGGTGCTTTTGTTGCTAATTGCTCAATTATTTTCTCCAGGTGTTTTCTAACTCTGTCTTTTTGCCATTTGAAGCTGAGCAGAAATATGATTATTTTCGATGAAAACAGCTGCCAAAAACGACGCTGTTAAAGTAGTGACGGTAAATGAAAACTGTAAGGTTTGAATGAGCTGAAACAGTCTATAAAGTTCTGTAAATCCAATGGGAGCTGCAGATTTGGGAGATTATTCCCAGTAGGTTAAAGGACAGTAGTACGGGCACGGAAGCAAAGTACTGCTGTGGATGGTGGCAGCAGTATTTAGCCACTTAAATTAAAGGTCCTGCTTATGTACAAATTAGAGCCGCACGATATTGGAAAAAACTGACACTGCTTTTTTTTTTTCTTTTCTTTGATATTGTGGTATTAAAAATGAAGGAATAGCCCCACCCTAAGTTATGTAGGCTACATTTTAAACAAAGAGTTGAATCCAACGGGCAGATGCGCCTGCTCTCTGAGAGCAAACGGTCCAAACATGTAATATATACAGTTTATTACTCTTCTTCTCTGGACTGCCGCCGTAACATTCAGGAAAGTTTCTCGTAGACTGCAGCTGTAGGCTGCGAGCAGCGGCATGGCGGCTCCCCAAAAGTGAAGCCAAAAACATGTCAACCGTCAGCAGGTGGCTGGTAGTTGGGTTAGGCAGCGCTTGATTCGGTGTGCAGCTGAGTTTTCTATGAGTGCGGCATGCATTTTAAACGTCAATTTCGCAGGCGATAGTGTTCATTTAATTATCGGAGGCCAAAATCGTGTCGTAATTTTCGACTATAGTGCAGCCTAGGCCACTATGGTAGGACAAGCCCCTGATGAAAGTTATATATTTAATCGCTTCTAAAATGCATATGCTAATAAGTTGCTTCAAGAGGTACTCCAGTGAATTAGTGCCGTATGGCACTAAAATAAAGCTGAGGACTCAAAACAGACTGTTTAAAAGATAACGGTGAAATAATACAGGCAGAGCTATTCTGACTTTTAGTCTCTAGCACGGTTCAAGCTTTCTTTCAGAACTACAGAAGCATTATTCGTTAATTCTCAAATGACTAAAAGGCTTTTGTTATTATTGCTACTAAGTACCTCTTTCTCCACCCATCTCCTTTCTATTGTTTTTTCCCTCACAAAACTGAATACATAAGCGCGTGCTACACCATGTCAAGTTGGCAGATTGCCTGTTTTCTCCACTCTGTGTCCCTGCAGACTTCAGCTTCTCCGGCGCTCTGATGATTAATGGAAGTGCCTCAGACTTTCTCGCAGAGTCTCATCTCTGTGTGCACTTCTGCCTCTTCATCTGACCCAACCCCCCAGTCTAAATGCAACCCTTTTCTCCCCTTGCTCTTGCTATCATCCCTCCCTCCCCTGTGTCTGAATACGACCCCCCCCCCCCACACCCTTCCAGTGACGGGGCCATCGGTTTGGCCTCTTCTGAATTGCTGTAGGTTGGAGCTTTGTCGCTTTCGCAGCTGCTGTATTGTCTTTGGGAATTGTGCATATGGCGCGTGGACAGAGAAGTAGGTCTGTGTGGACGTTGTCAGTGTCTGGCTGCACAGATGAGCTACTTTATTTTTTGGGGGAAACCCAGCATTGTGCATTGCACTCACAAGTCACCTAAATTGACTCTACTTTGTACTTGGTAGATCTATACTTGCCTGATCTCTTAGGTTTTTGACATCTCACTCTGATTCAACTTGCCTCTGGTAGTATGTATGCAGACATTTAATGGGGCTAGTTTGATATACTGTGGTGGATACTCAAATGCAATATTATGTGTATCCAAAAATAGTTACTTGGTATTTAGCTGCTAAGAACTTTTTACTTTTGTGACTTATCGTCATATCTTTTGATAAGATCGGATTGAAAAAAAAAAAAAAAGAGGTCTGTACGTGGTCAGTGGGATGTCCTGAACATCAATACAGGAGGGTGCTCTGGTCACATGATCTGATCACTTCAGTTTTCTTTCACGTCCACAGTTTGACCACCGCTCTACGTTACGTCCTGAATTCAGATCATTCACATGAGTTCACATGCAGTCTTTCTACAAGATGCAGCCTCTGTTGTGTAAGTTGTTGGTGGCGTCGTGCACATACTAATTATTTATTGAGTTTTTTTATTTCTATGTAGCTTTGTGGTTGCTTGCTTTATGGGCAAAGTGGCTACAAGAGATGTACTCTTAAAAAATCTAATTGTTCCACTTTGTGTAATTTTAATATGTTTATTGCAGTGCTGCAATAATGGCTTTCCAATAGATTTGGCCTTGCTGGTTAAGTGGTCATTTTGGTAACCCTGACCAAGGTCTCTCTGCTTGAATTAAATGTGATTTAGAGATGCTCGTGTTTCTGGGACAGCAGAGTTCATATTGTTGATGTAGACCAATATATGTATTTGAGTAGTCCAGCCACTATATGAATGGCATTGGTCAATAAGGGCCGAAATAAATGGTTATTATTATTATTAATTAGTAAATGTATCAAAACGACAATATGAAAAGGGGTCACTCGTAGTATTGAACCTAAAAGGAATTATCTCCCACATCTATATCAAGAGAGGGTGTTGTGCAGATAAGGAGGGGGGGGGGGGGGGACAGAATAACTCGCAAGGGGGGGGGGGGGGGGGGGGGGGGGGCATGATGAAATGGACTGAGGAAAAGACAGGAAGGGGGTGGGGTGTTAAAGGTGTAAGAGTGTGAGCAAGAGAGAGAGAGAGAGCCAGCACCTAAAGCTATTGATGGGAAAGCGGGGAGGGGTGGAATGAGCAAGCGCGTGGGAGGGAGGGAGGGGTGAGTGGGCTGAATGAGGAAGCAGCAGAGCCATTTTTACTGTTGAGCAACTGCATGCTGGTCTTGCCTCTTGCTTGAGAGAGAGGGTGAGAGCTAGAGCAAGAGGAATAAAGCGCTCCTCCTGGATCTTACCGGAGCCCTCTCTCCCGTCTCTCGCCTTCCCCTCTCCGTCTTGCTTTCAGTTTGTGTCCATTTAAGTTGGGGGGGCCCTGGAGAGGACACACAATGGAGCGGAGAGCCTGTGGCAACTGGGCTGTTGTGCTGCTGAGAGGGGGATGGGGTAGAGAGAGGACCGGTTCACACAGCTAACACAGCCGGCCGGCTGGAGGCTTCCTTTCCTCCCCGCCTGAACCCACTGTTTCCAGGCCGGGGCCTTTTTTTTGTGTGGAACAAGCCGTCCTCAAACTTCGCTTGGACTACACTAAGGATTACTCATTGTGCTCTGTGGGATTTCAGGATACGTACTGGAGCCTGAAAAATAAATCCCTCCTGTGTTTTGGATAAGAGAAAGAGGGGAAAAAAACAAACTTCTGTGTAATTCTTCTTGCCCGTTTTTTTGGTTTCTGTTTAGCGGAGTTCATAAATGGATTACAAGATGCATGCCAAGTCAAACGATTTGCTGGATTTTCAAAAACTGGACGCCCTTCTGGAAAAAATTGCACATTCAGTCTCTGTGAAAAGGTAACGTTATCTGGCGAGGTTGACTCCCCCACAAAGTTTTCAGACATTTAACAGAGGCACTAAAGATTTTACAACCATACATTAAAAATAATATGATCATTTGAAATACATGGTTGAAAAACTGACGAGGTTGAATCAAAGACAGCCTTGAGTAATGGCTCTTGGGACTATCATGTGGTTAGCACTATCTCCCAGTTCTACATGGCCCAGCACGACTATCCAGTTTACATTTGTAGTGTTGAGATTGGTATTGTTATCCAGATTTCAGCCAGAAGCCATGAACCTACCCCCTGGTGAGAGAGGGAGGGGGTGGTGGAGGAAGGGTTAGTTCAGAGGAAGAAGGGGGTTGTGTGTGTGCGTGCGTGTGGCAGTTGTACAAATGTCTCCTGATTCTTGGCAGGGTTTGGCTTACTCATCCCAACCAGCTGGAAGTTAAACCTGAAAGGGCTGGCATGATTCTTGCCTTTTCCTGTTTATGGTGGGCCTGACTCATAGTTAGTCTATTCGAGTCCCTTGTGCTCATGCACTGACTCATTCAGGAAGTGCTTATGATCAATACTAGAGGAACGTATTGAGATTTACAACATTGTGTTGATGAACACCCATAAAGACAAATGTAAACAAAGCTGTCCATATTTGTTTTTGTGTTTAACTGCAGTTTGTCTGTAACACACTTAAGTCACACAGGCCATGGCTGGTTACTATTCAATTGGTAGGCTGCCAAAAGTAGGCGTTGGAATCAACGAGAATAAAAATACACTACACATGCCAAGAAGTGGGGAATTTGTTTTTCTTGAAGCAAAGTTTCAGAGGTACTCACAAGGAAGCAACCGATGGCACATGATACAAGGTGGACAAAGGTAGAATAGTTACATCCCTAATGCCGTGGATATTATCGGTGTATAATTCTTACTACTTTGCCAGTACTCGGCCTCACACTGTACAATTTTGAGAAATGTGTAGAGCTTATTATTCGTCTATTATTTCTCTACAGTTGTGTATAATGGCACTTAAGATAGCATTAGCATATTTAGATTGAGTCATAACATTGCCGGTACTACTGTTACTCGGCTGATTGTAATATATTGGTACTCGGTAGATGCATCAATTATTTTTGAATATAGAAAGTAAGAAAGTTCACCGTGACAGCCTTAATTAATTAGGTGTGCAGAGTTTTAGCGTAATCTTTTCCTAACAGACACATAACTATGAGTAAAAAACATTGAAAGCTTGTATAAATAAATCCATTTACGTTGCCTTCTTTAAAGCTTTATTTACACAGTTGCTTATAGCAGCACACGTGTTTGTATATTTGAATAATAAATTCAATTAACGCAGTCTTATTTTGGTTATAAAACAAATCACATATAAAAGGGCTGCTCCTGCTCTGGCTGTCATTATTCTCAAGTTAGAAAAATAAGGATAAAATACAATTCTTGGCTGCGTACCAGCTTTATTGGGGAGTACAACAGTTGCCCTTCAGGTGCCATTTGGTTGGGGGGTCTTTGGCTGACCAATTTTTGTGTGGCCTGTTCTGTTGGCTCTAGTTGACCCTAAATGGCCAGAGGCAGCAGGTGAAAGACGGCTCCTACTAACTATAAAGCCTTGAGAATCAATGATTCCAGCCGTTTAGTGCTGTTTCTTTTTATCTCTCACATGCACCTTATTTCTTTTGTACATAAGTCAGAAGACTACAGGCTGACGATAGCACTACAAAGTAAAACGCGACCTTTTACCTCGATGCTCTTGTCACATGGAGACCATGTGCCCTCATCGCAGGTTCACGTCATTGTGCTCTATGTGCTGAAAACACTGGTAACTGATGTCCAGGGGATACTTGACAATGAATCCTAGATCACTGAAATAAGGGATCAATCCGTCATCATTTAACATTGTCTAGGGATTATCTTATATCTTTTATTTTTGTACATCTCCTTTGTCTTTGTTATCGACCTACATTTTTAGGTAGGGTTATTGGCCATAGCCTGTATTCACCTCATCGGTGTATATCAGGACAAACTGTCCATTATTTACATTCGGACTGGATGAACTCGGTTGAGTTCACAAAACAGAAATACTCTCACATTTGTCATCTACTAACCAAAATGGAAACACTTAAGACATGAGTGCAAAGAGGCCAGTAAAGAAGAGCATCAATGGAATCAATATGTTGACGTGTAGTGGCAGATAGAGGAGCTCCCTGAGAAGTGTTGAAGGGGGTTTTATGAAAGAGGAAAAGGCCGGTGAATATGCAGAGATTGTTCTAGTCCTTGTCACTGTGGTCTTATTAATTATTTAGTCCTTTTACTTTCAGGAAAAACACAGGCCATCATTCTGACACTTAGTGAGGACCTCAGGTGGAGTCTGCAGGCCTACATTTTTGTCTGCAATCCCCCCCTACATGAATGATTTATAGTTTGGGGATGTAGACATCTTGTTGTTATGTTTTTCCTCTGCTTTCCAAGTAGGACAGTCACTGAGAGGCTGTACACAGGACCAGGCTTTCCTGGTGTGACATGTGAATCCCCCCCGTATTCAGAGCCACTTCCTCCCCAGAAAACATTCCACAGCAGTCGTCAGTGATCTATGTCCAGGTCAAAGATCAACTGGTATTCCAGAGCTGAGAGCCATGGAGGACGTGCTGCAACAGGAAGTGGACCTGTTGATTGACCCCTGTTGGGGGGCTTCTGTAGACTTGATTAGTCTTGCATGCCAACATTGCTCTTACACAAGGAACTGTTGCCTGGTGGTTGTCTTGCATTTACTTGGAATTTCTAGCTAATCAATTAATTAACAGAAAATACATGGATTTCTGACATTTTACAGACTAAACGAGTCATCAAAAAAGACAGAATAGTTGCTAATAAAAATTCAGACAGAGGGAGACAAACAAAATTAAAACTTTACTTTTGTTTGTAGTAAGTGTATTAGGGTTACTTACGGGAACACAAAGGGAACTAGAACAGGCTCAGCAGGTTCCCTTTGACAATATTATTTCAACATCTGTTGAAAGAACAGTTACTTCAACCGTGTTCATGTTTGTTGTTTCTGGCTTGTCAGGTGCAAAAGACCCAACTCATCACAAACCAAACCACTGCCACAATAATCTCCCAAATCTGCAAACCACATAATCATTTGGCATAATCCTCAATGTTTCCTTGAGACACAGAAGAACTTCATCAAAGAAATGTTGAGCTGTGCAGTTTGTTCCTAACAATGAGGCTTGTTCCTCTCTGGGATTGTTTGGGTTAAAGGCCCTAAATTATATTTATGCCTGCAACAGACTGTCCTTAAATAACATTGCGACATGATGCAAGAGGCCATTCCTTGACAAACTGCAGTAACTACATTTGACAGACAAGAATAGAGTAGGCCGTAAACCTACTGTATTGGTGGAGAGTGTTTTAAAGGTGAATGAAAACCTCTTTGCATATTTTGTGAGACACACTGAAAGGCATTTCCCTTTAGTTTGTCTCACAAAACTGGTATTTGTTAGGTGAACATAGTAGGCTCAAGTCATTAAGAATGTATTACTATAGTAACATGATACAAGTTGAATTACGTGTGTAAGCTGATCGCTAAAACCTGTCTCCATTTTCATGACGGGCAGTGCGGGATGGTCTTGTCCCTCACTATTTTTCACAAATCGACTTTCTGTGCGTGAAAGTGAAACAAAACGTGTGCAACCCTGAACATGCAGGTACCAGAAATAAGAGGACTTGCAACATCCCAATACACTTGATCGCTTAGGAAAATCCCACTAAAARTATGTTTGCACTGCTCTCTATGGGCTGTGTTTGTGCCTGTTCTACCAATGGTCACAACCCAACCATGTGATGGTACAGCTGATTGAAAACATGTACTGTGACTCGGCCTGTCACCATTTATTGCCATTTACTTATTATTAAACTTGATGAGTTGATTTGGATCCGAGCTTTCCCAAAGTGTGTTTACACTTGTCGTCGTTGCAGTGCTCTAATGTCAATGACTGTGGCTGTGAGAGTGCTTATCGCTCATGTTAATGAGCTATTAAGGACCATCTGGCAGTATTTCTAAGATGAGACTTGAACTCAATGCAGCGCTGGAGGCCAGCTGTACCAGGCTCATGTTGTGGTTTTTAAAGGCTCCATTACAGTAAAGTGGTGTCATTTTATCAACCTATCGCTGTTTTAGTTGTTCTATTATTTGCCTCTGCCCACTTAGTCATTACATCCACATTATTGATCAGTATTGATATATTTACATACAAAAATATACAAGTGGAGAAGTATGTGTTTATGTTCTTAGTTTGTTAGTCTGTGTGTGTGTATTGTGATGTTGGTTGAGGGTCTGGGAGGTTGTGTATTCAGGGTTAGGCGGTACTATCTACTAAAAAAGGCAAAAGTAATTTTAAAAAAGTAATATACTATCTAAGCTTGTCATGTTAGCAATGAGAGGAGGTTACCTTCCTGCTAACTCCCCTGAAGATGTTGAGGTAGACGCAATATCACGAACACCTGTGCAATCCAATGCAATAGCCTTGTCGTGTCAGAAAGCTATTAATTGTGCTCTGGTAACAGCTTGTGTTGACTAACACCAGGTACCAGAAATAAGAGGACCTGCAACATCCCAATACACTTGATCGCTTAGGAAAATCCCACTAAAAATATGTTTGCACTGCTCTCTATGGGCTGTGTTTGTGCCTGTTCTACCAATGGTCACAACCCAACCATGTGATGGTACAGCTGATTGAAAGCATGTACTGTGACTCGGCGTGTCACCATTTATTGCCATTTACTTATTATTAATTTCGCCACACCGGGATCATTTGATAGATATTGAAACTGAGTGAGTCAGAAATGTCTTTTCTTCTTCTCATATGTTAGATGTGGTTGGAATACCTGCTGTTAGCCCACAGATGTGATGTGTGGACGCTGTCAGTGGTTTTCTCTACAACAAATGGCTGTTTAGGCTGAAAGTTGCTGGTGGTATTGGTCAGAATTTCCTCGGCTTTAAAGTTTTGCACATTCGTGCCTTGGCCGAGACAAGTTCTGTGCTTATTTATTTGTGAGGTTTGTCTTGCCTCCAGCCACAAAAGTTCCATCTGTGTTAAAATGTCTTCTTTTGTTTTGTTCTTTCTTTCTTTAACATGTTGTCATTCAACATATTGGTCAGTTAGTCAGATTCTCCACTGTGTTCGAGTGCCTCGGGGAGACCAAGGCTGTGATCATGTGGTGTGCAAACTGCTTCCCTCTTCTCCGAAAGTGACTCATCAAGAATGAGATTCGTCGCAGATCTATACTGTGGTGTGTGTGTGTGTGTGTATACATCTCTAAGGCCCTGTTGTGGGGGTTGGTTTTAAGTCTGCAAGACTGGGGGGGGCATTTTGTTTCTAATAGAGGCGTGAATACCGTATGATCAGTGCTTTATCTATTTTTAGTCAAGTTTTCTAGTTTATTGTTTGGCCTTGTTGTCTTAACAGCCTTGTGTGTATCTTGAATGAGATGTCTCTGACTGCCCTGGAGAGGACATGATGTTGGACTGAGCGTTGCGTAGTGGAACACACAGTCTCCCAGCTGCCAGATGACGCTAACCCCCCCCTCACCCCCCACCCACATCCCCAAACACTCCCAGGTCCTTAGACAGTGTAGGAAGACAAAGATCTACTGAAAGCACATGCAAGAGCCAAACCTCTGAGCTCTTCTGAATACAGAGAATTTGTTCTCGTAAAGTAATTAATGTGTCGGTAGGAGGACATCAACTTTTATATATAAAGTCATAACTAAAGGCTGGTGGTTGAACCTTTTGTGGGTGTTCAGTGCTTGTAGTTTATTGTTATGCTAAATAGATAAGAAATGATGATGAGCACTATGAGGAGGTCTGTGTGCCACAGCATCGTGTACTTTTAACATTATTATCTTATCTTTAATATCACAATCCAAATCATATCCACGACTAGGGCTGCACCGAATATTTTAAAGCTTCGAAGCATTATTCAAAACGTTAACATTCAAATTATTATAATAATGAATATCTTACAGAAACGTTGCATGCAGTAGTCCATCTTCTCTTCCTTTATTGCACCCGTTTCTTGTCTCTTTAATTGTCTGTCGCACAACGTGCTTTTGTCTCGTGAAATATTCTGCTTCAATCCACATTTGTTGGTGCTTCCTAAACTGTCTCCCCTGCACGCACCAGTACTAACGAGGCGGTCTAGCAGCAATCTAACAGCACCATAACTTACATCATTAACCACAATAACCTATTTTATCCATTGTTCAGGGTGATAAAGTCATAAAATATGAAAACTGACATTCAAAGCTTCATTTGAAAACGTGCAGAAAATGACATTGGAAAGAGCCCTAACCATAACGTTAACTACTCTTAAGCTTGGTTTATACTCGTAGTGAGGCTCGCACCACAATGCATTTATTATCAACTTCTTTCTTTACAGGTCTTGTGTAAAGGCAATCAGTTATTCCATGATTATGTGGTATGAAGTTACAGTTGATTACAATTCCTCCTTAGCATTGTGTAGGTTGATTTATGCCGTTTTGCCGGTAACACTGGTTGTCTTTTTGCTTCATCAGAGTACATTTTGTTTGTCCGCCCTCTGGCGTTTCAGAGAATACCGCAACAAAGTAGCTTTGTAGCTTGCGCGCCATCTGTAGAGGGCCGCATCGTGGTGCCAAGCATGAGTAGAACAAGCAGAAATGGAGCATATGGAGAACGAAGAATGCGGGTTGTCGGATCCACGAAAAAGAGACGGAAAACTAGTTTGTAATTAAGGATTTAAAATGTACTTGTGCTGAGTAACAGGGCTCAGCTTGTGGACATGCCACTCTACCAGAAACATCTCTAAATGCACCGTAGAGCACAGAGTGTAGAGATTGTTTTATAACATCTTAGTTTTGATAGTGAGTTGGTTAAAATCGCCTTAATATTGGCGTGGGAAAAAAAACTTCAATTGTCTATATACTATCCACAAGCCTAATACCGTGTTCACTGATTTACTATAGTTTTTTAACTGTTGACCAGAGCTATATTTGCAGGACTTTTCATTTCGCAACCAGCCTATTAGAAATGTCATTTCCAATGGCCATAGCATCGACTGTGATTTTCTACTTGTAATGTGGGAGTTTAGTAACTGAGGCAAAATCAAGCCTATGACTGTCATGACATTAGGAAAGAAATGTCTGTAAATCAGCCAATATTTTTTATGAGGTAAATCAACTTCTGAGTATGAACACTTGAATACCCTGAAAGCATCAGGTCCTAGAAGTTGTAAAATGCAGAAGATTGCTGGAAGATCCGGGTAATTTTATACTTGGAAGTCAATTTTTTTTCTGTTTGAGCAGCTTTCATAGGAATAAATAGGGGCGCCACCTTCAACACTGTATCCAGTTCTCTTTATACATCCATTGGTGCTACCCAATACAGCTGCTCCAATGGAAGGAAAAAACAAAACATTCAATGTAGAGTAATAAGACTAGTATGCCGCTGCCTTTTGCAATCCAATTACAATAAGCTCGATATCAGAAGTCCACCTAACAATGCGCTGATTAATGATTCAAATAAAACTTTGTTAATGACTGTGTTACTAACAAAATAACGATAAATTGTATTGAAGGCTGTTTATAAAGACGCTAATGACTGTGCTTTTTTTTTTTTTTTTTTTACATTCTCCAGAGAGTCCAGCGAGGAGTGCAATGGGATCAGTGGTGCTCTGTCAGTGGAGTCTGTGCCGGGGCCAAGACTGAACTGGTGTCCTGCCAACACCACTACCCCTGCCCCTGCAGCTCCAGCTCAAGCTCCAGCTCTGGGGCCTGAGCCCAACCCTGTCAGAATGGGGGACGGCCTGGATGCAGCACAGATGTCGGGCAGCAGCAGCAGCAGCCAGGGGCAGGCCCAGCAAATGGGCAATCCCCCACCCCCAGAGTACATCAATCCCGACAGGCCAAAGCGCCAGACCAATCAGCTGCAGTACCTGCTGAAGGCGGTGGTCAAGGGCCTGTGGAAGCACCAGTTTGCCTGGCCCTTTCATATACCAGTGGACGCGATCAAACTTAACCTGCCGGTGAGTGCTAGCTTTGTCCCTCTGTGTGCATGATGCCACGTACCTCAAAACTGTAAACGCATTAGGCTGTACATCAATATGCTTCTCACAGTTTGACCTGCGATGATTTATGGTTATTCCCTCTACGTTTCTGTATGTGTAGTGTTAACCTACCGCTATGCAACTTTTTTTCAGGACTACTACACAATAATCAAAACTCCCATGGACATGGGAACAATCAAGAAAAGGCTTGAGAACAGTTACTACTGGAATGCCCAAGAATGTATCCAAGACTTCAACACGATGTTCACCAACTGCTACATATACAACAAGGTAACGTTGTAAGACTGGAGCCGTTGTTAACATGAAGTGCCAAAGATTCTGAAATGCCTCTACTTTGGCTAAGCGTATTTGTCTCCCCCTGCAGCCTGGAGACGACATAGTCTTAATGGCTGAATCTCTCGAGAAGGCTTTCCTCCAAAGGGTCACAGAAATGCCTGAGGAAGAAACTGAGATTGTTGTCATGATGGGGAAGGGCCGTGGCCGTGGCCGAAGGGAAGGAGGTATGTCACTTACCGCTTTACACTATGTTTTCCTCTTTGGGCTGACCTCTGTGAGACATGATATTTATCCAGGTGTCTTCTTCTTCTCCCCTCAAGGTCTGAACTTGAAACCAGGGGCCATCATTGATTCATCGTCCACGACTCCTCAAACACGTGGTCTGTCAAATCTCTCAGCACCACCGCAGCAGACCAGAGGACCAGTGCAGGGCCCGCCTTCACTACCTCCCCAGCCTTTGATGCAGGTCCTGCCGTCCCACATGCCCCCAATGTTACCTAGCCACGCGCCACAGCTTGGAGCTCCCTACTCCCTGGGCCAATCGGACTGTGCTCCTCAAGGTCCCATCATGACTTCTGTGCCTCCCCCTGCTCAGACCTCCCTTCCCCCAGCATCCATCCAGAGCACTGCCCCCATGCTGCAGAACCCTATAACCATGACCAAAGTGAGTTTTGATAGACACAAGGAAATATGCTTGGGAAAGTGGGCACGTTTTTGACAATGCTCGGGGCTTTAGACGGGTTTAGTTAAGTTTTGTCAACTCATTCTAATCACTTGTTTTTGTTGTTCTTTTACACCATTTCTCTGCTCTCTTTGTATTCACGTCTATCTAGCAAAGAAAGAGCCAGAAAAGGAAAGCTGACACTACAACGCCCACAGCAAATGATCAACTGAGTGAGTCTTCACCAGCAGAGTCCAAATCTGGGAAGACACTACCCAGGCGAGAGAGCACCCGGCCTACAAAACTGATAAAGAAGGACGCACCAGACTCCCAGCATCACATAGGCATGGTGATGGGACTGAGTGGACCAAGTGGAGGTCATAGCCCCAAACCACAGGATCAGCTGGGTTACTGTGCTAGTCTGGTTAGGGATATGTTGTCCAAGAAGCATGCTGGTTATGCCTGGCCATTTTACAAACCTGTCGATGTGGATGCACTGGGACTACACGACTATCACGATATCATCAAATATCCAATGGACCTCAGTTCCATCAAGGTGTGTTGAAGATGTCATATATTTTCAGCTGAACAGAGAGGGTTCGTGACATGGCAGGTTAATACATATCCTTGATGTGTTTAATAGGCCAAGCTCGAGAACAGGCAATACCGGGAACCCCAGGAGTTTGCTGCTGATGTGCGATTAATGTTTTCCAACTGCTACAAATACAATCCACCAGACCACGAGGTGGTAGCTATGGCTCGCAAGCTACAGGTAAATATTGGCTATCATGCAGGCAATGTTGCCACGGCATGTGTGTGTATACATTTGTTTGTCCATGTTTGTATATGCCCAGTCCATCACATCTTCCAATTGTTTGTTCTTGTGGTGTTTTGACTCTCTTCCTAAAAATGTACACGTATGCTTTGCTTAGCTCGTTTGTTTCTTTTCATTTTATAGGATGTCTTTGAGATGCGCTTTGCCAAGATGCCAGATGAACCTGAGAGCAAGCCTCTAGTTTCTGCCCCAGCTCCTACACTTCACCATCCTGCCCCTGTTAAGCCCCAGCCTCCTCTGGCCCACGTTGCTTCATCTACAGACAGCTCCAGTGATTCGTCCTCTGAGTCCGAGTCTTCAACCGATGACTCTGAAGAGGAAAGAGCCCAGAGGTTGGCAGAGCTCCAGGATCAGGTCAGTGACCAGAGTAGATTCAAGATGGCAGCAAATCCATTGTCCAATTCTCGTTACAATGTTGTTGAGAACTGGTCTTCTTCTCTTGATGCAGTTGAAGGCTGTCCATGAGCAGCTGGCTGCCTTGTCCCAACCACAAGCCAGCAAACCAAAGAGAAAGGAGAAGGAGAAGAAGGAGAAGAAAAAAGAAAAGCATAAGAAGAAAGGAGGCATGTCTAGCCTTGTCGATGAGATCCAGGATGCTATACCTGTTCCGCAGCTCTCTAAGAAGACAAAGACTAGTAACAATAACAACAAAGAGGTTGTACCCAAGAAGAAACCTAGGTGGGTAATACACTTGTATGAACTGTATTCATGTCATGTGGATGCTCGGTCATCTGAGGACACAGGAAGTGCGTGTCCTGTAAATAGATATAATCCTTAAACAGTTGATTGTGGTATTAAAAGAATGATTGATTGGTATGTATGTTGAGAGATACAATGCAGAATGTTTCATGATTGGTAGGGGATCTTTGTTATATATTCTTCACCTGTAGTGTCACAACATGTGTCTGTTTTTAGTTATGAAGCCTTTTAAGCTGTGTTTGTAGAGAGTTGCTGTTTAGATAAAGTGTAGTCAGTACATATTGATGAATTACACATTTGTGTTTTGCCTCTAGTAAAAAGGAAGGGATGAAAAGCAATCATCCCTCCAACCTGCTGCCTGTACCCGGCCTGGAAGACGATCTGGGGGCCGCTGGGTCATCAGCAACGGGGGAAAAATGCAAGCCCATGACGTACGAGGAGAAGAGGCAGCTAAGCTTGGACATCAACAAGCTTCCTGGTGACAAGCTTGGCCGTGTAGTCCATATCATCCAGTCCAGAGAGCCCTCACTCAAAAACTCAAACCCTGATGAGATTGAGATTGACTTTGAGACGCTAAAACCCTCCACTCTGCGCGAGCTGGAGAGATACGTGTCTTCCTGCCTCCGCAAGAAGAAAAAGGTTCACGGTAAGTCCCACTAGAAAACCAGCAACGGTAGTTATTCACCCGAGTCTGTAATTCTTTTGTTTATTTACGCCTCATTGGAAATCCATGAACACATAGTTGTTGGTTTGCAGTTGAGAAGCCTGTGGAGTCCATGGCTACCTCCAAAAAGACTGGATCCTCTTCAGAGAGCAGTGGCTCCAGCACAGACAGCGAAGCTGAGGGGACAGGTGACTTACTGCAAATATGGCAATTCAAATGCCCACAATGAAAGAGGAAGTGCTTAATCTTAATTTCACTTTATTTATTTTTTTAGGAATAATTAAGCATCAGAAGAAGAAGGGCCATTCTGTGAAGGAGGGGAAAAAGACCCATCCTCATGTACACATTCAGAGTGGCCCTGCTCAGATTGGGCTTCATTCCCAAATTGCAGGCCTTCAGTCCAGCAGTCAGATGAAGCAGCAGTCTCAGCCACCCCCTGCAGGCTTCCCTGCTCCCCCTGTAGCTGCTCTGGAGTCTTCCCAGTTACTGGAGACTAGCTTTGACTCCCTGCCACCCTTCGGCCAGCCCCTCATGCATCTAACCCACCACACGGGCAACTCCTCGCCCGCACCGCCACACCTCAACGCTCATTCTGCTGGGCCAGTGTCCCCTGAGACCCACCCCTTCCTCAACCAACATCCCGTCCTCACATCTCCAGGTAAGGCTGTGTGCAGGCTGCTTCACTTTTGATAGCTCCACTACTAATCACTACTTGGATTTTCATTGTTTCTGTAGGTGTAACTGCAATCCCTCCCAAGAATAATGCTCTTACAATGTCAAACAGTCCCCAATTAGTTTAGCAAAATGAATATTAAATGAAACATGTCCAGGATCACAAGCACAACATTTGTTGTATTCATTATTTGTTGTGTCTCTGCCTCCTTTCCTGGAACTGTGCAACCTTAGCTTTGCACATTTCCATGCCTCAGCAGCCTTCTCGACCCAGTCACAAGGCAGCGCCTCTTCATCCCAAACCCCCTCAGCAGCAACCAGCACCTCCTCAGCAGCAGCCAACCCTGCAGCCGCCGCAGCAGCCGCCGCAGCAGCAGCAGCAGCAGCTGCCACAGCAGCAGCACCTCCAGCCCCAGTCAGCACCACCACCCCCACCACAGCACCAGCTTTCCTCTCAGATCCTCCACCCTCCTCAGCCCCTGCACCAGCGACCCTTGTCCCCTCCAACACTCACACCCCAGGGCTTGCTGTCTTCCCAGCCTCCCCAGATGCTGCTGGAGGATGATGAAGAGCCAGGGTCTACAACGCCTATGAACCAAGTACAATTATACCTGCAGCAGTTCCAGCAAGCCCGTCAGCCCCAGCAGTCCATGCAGTCGCTCCAACCGCAGGCTCGTCAGCAGCAGCAGCAGCAGCAGCAGCAGCAGCAGCAACAACAACAACAACAACAACAACCAGGACAGATCTCTCTCCTGCAGTCTGTCCACGGACAATCTCAACTATCCTCTCAGACCACACTGCCTCCTCCCCAGCTCCCTTTGCAGACCCCTCAGCCCGCCCCATCACATCAGGCCCCGGCCCAACAGATGCCTCTACTCCAGGCCCGCCACATGCAGCATTCTCAGCCGCAGCAAAAGCAGCCCCAACAGCAACAACTGAACTATCAGCAGGGTCCAGGACTAGCTGGTCAGTCCCAGGGATCACAACACAAGGTATCCATGCCCAGCAACAAAGCACAGCAGATCATTCTGCAGCAGCAACAGCAGCAGCCCTCCCCTCGCCCAACCAAGGCTGAACCCTACAACGCTGGTTAGTTTGTGAAGACGAGACTAACATTAATTGTGTAACTGATGGTAGAAGCAAAAATTGTTGCTGTACAAATACATTTCGTAGGCTGAAGTTGTATGCCGCTCCCCTCTATTGACAGGTCACATAAGAGATAACCCATCGCCTCTCATGATGCATTCCCCACAACTTCCCCAGTATCCACCTGTCTCTCACCAGTCCCCACCTCACAACATGCAGCCCAAAAAGGTGAGAAACCCTTTTTAGAAACCCTTAAGTGCAGGGCTAACATTATGTCTCCACATGCCTGTGTCTGACTTTGACTCCATTTGCTTGTCATGCAGCAGAGGGGCCCTGGGAGCCATGGTGTACTAAAGGAGGAGAAACTTTCTCCCTCACCAGCGATGAGAGGAGAGCCATTCAACCCTGCCATGAGACCAGACCATCATAAACAGCCCGATAACAAGCCTTCTCAACCAGGCCACGGCCAACAGAGTGAGTCCCAAGGCTTCTTGTATTTTCTCTCGCTTTCTGCGGCTAAAACGCCAGAGAAGAAGAAGCTACACAAGATATTGAGACTGTGTGTGTGTGTGTCATTGTGTTGAGCAGATGTGAAGTCCATGGACAGCTTGCGACCTGTCATCCGCTCCTCCGAATCCAGTGGACTGCCCTCCTCTCTGCAAGAAAAGGATAAGTTCAAGCAGGAGTCCAAGGTGCCCATTGCCCCCAAAAAGGTACAGGTGGGTGAAATAGTCACTTTAGAAAAAATATATATATTTTTTTGCATTTTGCAAGATTTTTGATTGCAACTTAATGTTTTCTCAGGATGTGAAACTGAAGAATATGGGCTCATGGGCCAGCCTGGCACAAAAGTCCACATCTACACCCTCATCTGCAGTGAAGTCGTCTAGTGACAGTTTTGAGCAGTTCCGTCGCGCTGCCCGGGAGAAAGAGGAGAGGGAGAAAGCTCTGAAGGCCCAAGCCGAGCAGTTGGAAAAAGACAGACTACGCAGAGAGCAGGACAAACTACGGTAAGCTTGTCCAGAAGACGACCAATGACTAAATATATAGGGCGGCACAATGTTTACCTCATGAGGGACTTTGTAGAGTTTTGAGGAGTTACACCTGTCTTAAAGTTCTTTATTTGGTCCACGAATCTAAATATAATATCTAAATCCCTCATCTGAGGGGCCTTGTTACCCTCTACAGGCAGAAAGGGCTTACCTATCATTTAAACACGCACCATCGTGAGTTGAGCTGAGGCTGACGGAATTAGTTGTGTCTATGTTGGGTTCACGTAATTATAGATTGAGCAAAGCCTCAACTGCCTTAAAAAGTCAAATATTTTATCGTTGATGCAAACAACATCAACAAGGTACAGATGTCAACATTAAAAACACAGCCGCAATAATAACCCTAAAGACAAAAATGCAGGTTGTACTATGAGGTGATGTGTTATGCCCTCTAGTGGCAATATTGTAGGACCACCACAGCCACTGAGAATCGAGTGTAACTAAGGACATGTTTTGGATGTCAACATTTGAACCAGAAAAGATTATCATCGGTTATATCCATCGGTTGGTGGGACGTGATGTCAGTCCTCAACCTACTTATGGGCATCTACTCTTCTTCAAGCCATCAGATGTTTACAGTGGCACTTGATACCCTGCTTCATCTGAATCTGACAGAGCAAAGCTCTTTAATAGGACACTGATCATCAAACCCCACAGTAATGAACCTCATGTAAAGTACTTGGTCAAAAAGCTGAGGCTTATATTAAGCCTTTATTTCATAAATGGAAGATTATAAAGTTAATAAGAGAGTTATTGGCCACCATATGTTTACCTGTTTTGCACATGGCAAGATTTTAATACTTGAGTAAAATCATCATGTCTAAAGCAGGGCTGCAAAAGAATTCTGCATTCCATTGCCGGTATTTGACACACCTTAGACTTTCACTATAGCTGGATAAAGCAAAACTCAGTTCTACGGTCTATTGAACAATAGTGAGCCTCAAATCCAGAGAAAGCTCTGCTCAAAAGTGTTCGATATTTTGCCCCAAATATCCACCAAGATTACAAACCCGCTTGTCATTTCCTTTAACTGAAACCTCTCTATTTAAATCGTTATGCATGTTGTAAATCTTGTTTTCTCTCCTTGTAGTTTTATATTTAGCAGATCCATTCTCCCTGTGACACATCCAGGATGAAACCAAACGTGAACCCCCTTCAGCAATGTCAAAAGTATTTGGTTTCACCTGATGGGAATTATTGGCTTAAATGTTTTCCAGAGGTCGAGATGAAGAGGACATCATGGAGCCAAGCAGAAGGGTGCACGAGGAGCCACGCAGGCGTCTGGAGCAGCAACACATTCAAGCTCCTTCGCAACAGCAACAACAACAACAACAACAACAACAACAACAGCAGCAGCAGCAGCAGCAGCAGCAGCAGCAACAACAACAACAACAACAGCAGCAGCAGCAGGAGCCCCAGCCAGTTGCCATTCAGCAGCCTCCTCAACCCCCAACACCGCCTCAGCCTGCCGCACAGAACCCACTTGACCAACAGAGGGAGCTAGCACGCCGCCGAGAGCAGGAAAGGAGGAGGCGAGAAGCGGTGAGTTACTTGTCTTTAAGCCTTTGTTGTCTCATTTCATGCTGTAGGAGCAATTTTCCCGAAGTTTGAAGATGCACTCTGAAATAATGAACGTAATTGAAATGCTTAGTTGTTCTTTCTCTCTCTCCAGATGGCGGCAACTATTGACATGAATTTCCAAAGTGACTTAATGGCTATCTTTGAGGAGAACCTGTTTTGAGGAGAGGAGCAACTCAAACATAACTGCAAAAAAAAGAAAAAGAAAAAAAAAAGGAAAATACTTCACTTCCTCTTAAGAGGGATTTGCCGACCACGCACCACAGAGGGACACGGACTGTATGTAGATGTGACGGGCCCTTGGATGGAGTACAAGCGCTGGACGGGCGCTCACAGGTCGCTTTGTCCCTGTGGACTGAACACACACAACGCATGGGGATAATCTCACTGTCTTGGATGTCATATCCTCGGAATCTGGCATTGTCTGCCTGATATATCTAACAGGAGAAAGAGGACCCCCGGTTGGCACAGTTGCCTTTGTCACTTGCTTTTTACAGTGTGTGTGTGTGGCCGCAACAATGAATTGCAAGAGTAAGGACATCCCAATAACTATGAAAATGCTCTGATAATGTACTGACAGACTGTGCAGAGATGTTTTGAAACTGCCAGATATCTGAGGTGGTGAAGAAGACTGGTCTTTTATGTTCTGTTTTGTTTTGATTGTTGTAAGTGAACAAATGAAAGGGGTGGGGGGGGTGGGCAACAACTTCCATACTGTAAATCATGTATATTTCTCAGCAGAGAAGGTACAGTTTGCCTTACACCTCTTTCCTAAGCAGACAATTATGTTCTTTGGCCTGCACACGAGGACAAACCAGTGATATTTACAACCAGGAGTAGGAGCCGTGCAGACCTTTTTTCATCATCTAGTATCTACTGTAAAGAAGTATTTTCTTATACTACAATAACTGTTTATTTTGGATCTTTCTTTTTTTTCCTCTTTCGGTCTAAACCTTCATACATCACACTCCGCCACCTCTGTCTATGCCAAACAACTCACTATATTTTATGCTAAATGACTTGTCCTAAATCATGGTAGGTAGCTAGTGACAAAAAAAAACAAAAAACCTGAATATATGCATTATCATAGTTCCAACAAGTATTTATCAAATACAGAATCAGTTGATGTTTTCATCCTGCCTTGTATTTTTCTTTTACAACATGAACGTTTGCAGACGATGGGAAAGGTCCAGCCGTTTCTGAGCTTTAGTTGGAATATGATTTCACTACAAGTGTCGCACCATTCTTTGTATTACACTTTGAGACATAATGTTGATATCATTGGCCTGTTCACAACAGTCACACTACCGGATCAGTTCAGAAACGAATAGATGAGGACCCCCTTGCTGTTCCCTCTGTGTGCACTCTGACCTTACGTAAAGGTTTTGATCAAATGTCAACAGATAGTGCTCGAGGCAGGAAGGGGACGATCAGGGGAATGAGACAAACACTTAACACCTTTCTGGAGCTGTTACTTGAATCAGGTTTAGTAAAATAAAATAAAAAATAGCCAAAGGGACTGGAATGAGCTCCCAGTTAGTTTTTGCATCAAATTGTCTTCAAATGACAGACTGTCAACAATACAAAATAAAAAAGACAAACAAATGTTTCGCAACAGAAAACTCTGAAATAACGGTTTTGATTTATCTTTGTTCTCGTTTGATAATAGTTGATGTGAGTTATGATTCTGTTCTTGGAAACATTGTTTGGACCGGGGATGGGGGTTGAAATCTGAATGCGTCTCGTCCTCTTCACTTGTCTCTGTTATGGTGTTTTTCTCCAGTGCCTGTATTGTATTGCAATTCTCGTTGGCTTATATTACACTTCGAGGGGGTTTAGAAAGGGGCCAGGTCAGGATTGGGTGGTGTAATATTTGAACGGGGAGGGAGATTTTTGAAAGAGTTTGTGTAAAAAAAATAAAAAATAAAAATAAAAAAAAAGAAGAAGGAAAGGACAGCGTTTTATATTTTACCCGTTGTCAATATTCGGGTTTTAAATTTAGTTTTAGCTGGACTTCTGAGTGTACACATCTGAAAAACTTTCTCATTTTGTTCAATCAGCAGATTTTAGGTAGATATATTTCAGCGTTGCCACACTAGCGTTTGAGTCTGGTCTGGTCTGTGAGTGTGACTGTAAATTTGGACGGCTGTGTGACTGTATGTGTTTTGTTACTGTTAATTTTTTTTTTGTTGAAGTGTGTGGTGCATGAGTCATTTTCTCTGATTGCAGATAAGCATTCTATTTGAGAATAAACAGATAAACCGTACTTCAGGAGAACTTGTTTAAGTGCTTAAGTCACCTTTTTAATTTCTATGAAGTCCACCATATATGAAATATAGAATTTTTATTGTTAGACTGGTTTTGAAAGAGTAAAAAAAAAAAAAAACTTCATTCCTTTTTAGCCTGTTTTTCCTTTTTCACAGAAACTGTTAATGTGCCATGAGTTCTACAGAGAATGTGCTGACCCGCAGCTCAGCCCAGAGTTTGCTTTATTCAGGTATTTTATTTTGTGTTACATTTGTTCTGTTTTGGGAGTTTTGTTCAAACATTTTCCTCGATTTATTGTTTGGTATGTGAGTGATCTATCGAGGTCTCTGATTCAGTCTGTTATGATCATTGAATAAACTCATCTCTTTTATAGAAAATAAAAAAATATACTAAATTCTGTTTTTTTTTTTTTGTTTTTTTGTGAAATGCCTCTTAGAACTGGTATATAGCTCACCTATTCTCATTTAGCAGCATTCTCAAGACGGAGCTTTAAAGTCATTGTTTTAGACATGCCAACTGCACTTAAATTCCAAAACAGTATTGCCACCATTGCCACAGACAAATGGGGTAATAACTTCTGCACTTTTGACACCTGTTGCTTTTTTGTCTGATTTTTAGCATATTATGTTGTGACTTTTAATAGCATACTATACTATGATTTTCGACATTTTTTATGAAATACTATACAATTTTATGAAAGCCTGCTATACTATTACTTTTTATGACATACTATACTATTACTTTTTAAGGAATGCTTTAGTTTTACATTTTTGTCAATTTTATATATGACATACAAAACTGCCATTTTTTATACTATACTTTGAGATTTCATGACATTTTTACGACATACTATGACTTTTTAATGACCCTTTTAAGAGTTACTATACTGTGACTTGTTTTATGATACGACTTTTTATGACATTTTCAAGATGTACAATAATATGACATGCTGTACTTTAATTTTAATGTTTCTTTTTTAATCTTTGTAATTTAAAGCTAGTTTTAGTTTTAAAGTTTGGTGCAACATGATTTAAAGTTAGGCCATCGCCTGGGTGAAAACCAGGAATCCTGACCGCTAGACCATATGGGACTTGATTTTTGATAAAATGTATGATCTTTTTCGACATACTATATTACAACATGTTT